TGCAGGTCTGAGGCAGTAGGAGTGCAAGCTCATAAGCAACTGCTTCTTGCCTCATAGGCCATCTTCTTGCCTTACAACAGGGATCTTGGTGCTCATTTGGTGCCTTTCTCGTGTAGAGATTTAATTCCCTTTCCAAGTATCACTGTCATTTCTTCAGGAATGATTCCTAAATCTGTATGTTCTACTTGCAAAGATTTTTAATATCTTTGGCTACTGACCTGTGCTAGTACATCATGTTAAAAATAATTACACATGCAAAACTGCTAAGTGTCAGACTGGGTATAGTTCATTAATAATAGAAAAATTATACAGATCCAGCCCTGACTGAGTACTCTCCTGAGTTTAAATCTCATGTTGCATAATGTGTCCTGGACCGTTGACCCTGAAATGTCATTGCAATCACAAATAGCCTGCCTGCAACTCTCTCTTCTTAACCAAATTTCCTTTGACCATTCCTGCCTTTGTCAGTAACATCAGCATGTTACTGTTTCATGTTTTGTAGTCATCTTTGATTCCTTTGTCTTACGCTTTCATTTCCAAGTACTAAGTATTAAGATCACTCCTATTCCCTTGCTAGGAGTTCTTAGGTGGTGCAGATGGTTAAATGCTTGAAAGGTTGGTGACCTGAGTCACCTCACAAGAAAGGCTGAGGGTCTAATTCTAAACTCCAGTGCAACACAGTTCTACTGTGCAAAATACGGAGTTGCCGTGAATTGTAATAGACTCAGAGGCAACTGGTTTGATACGGTAGTTGGTGGAATGCTGATAAAATTTATTCTTCCTTTCCACTGTTCATTCTTATCATGGTCCTACTTACCGCATGGTAAAACGCTTCTGTCATATCACAATTGATTCTCTTAAGTTCAGATTTCTTTCTTAGTATATCCTCAGAGACACAGGTTAGGTTACCTCTCATCAAATCTATTTTATTTAGTAAAAGCTTTTCCATAATAAATATTTCTCTTTTGCAGTAGAGCATATATACAAAACATGTATGTATATATCAGAAATGTGCAGACTCCCACTATATAAAGAGATGCTCATGAAGCTTCTCTGGTTGTAGATGGGCTAGAAGGAGCTTGACCTCTTTGACCTGCCCTCAACTTCTGAAGCAGCCTTCTTGGAACTTGGGGCCCTATAGTACAGTTATCAAACCAGGCTGGACACACAAGATTTCAATGTTTTACAAGGATATGTATGCTTTCTTCATAATACTAAAAAAAATGTATTCACTATAGGATAAGCACTGGATTGCTTAACTGCAAGGTTGGTGGTTCAAACCCACCTGCTTCTCCTTGGGAACCTGATACAGGTCGCTTTGAATTGGCACAACTACAAAAATCTATGCACGTTTTCCAACTTAGTCCCAAATTCACACACAACTCTTAAATGCACAGTGTCTATTCCTTTACCCCGGTGTGGTTTAGGTATTCCCACTGCCTTGAATGTCTGGAATGTCATCATGCATTTTTTTTTCGTCATGCGTTCTTGATGACCTAAAATCTTCTTTCCTTATCTCTACTCCCAGCTGTTCTTGAGGAGTTCTGTATCATCCCAGTTTAGCGATTTCTCATCAAACACTTGCAGTTATTTCTAGTTATTTACCATTGTTCTTATTTTCATGCATGAGCTCAATTCTTTCTACTGGATCATAGACCACTTAAAAGAAGGATCGAGTCTCTTACCACTTTTTAATCCTTGCATCTAGGTAATATACAGTTTATAATATTCTATTCACTGGTTTACTTTGATGATAACCCACAGCTAGAAATAATATCTAGGGTCCCATAGATATCACATTCATTGGCAACCTTATGAATAGCAGCAAAACATTGTCATTAACAAAAATCTATGAGAAATATCCTGTTTGAAAGTGTTCCTCTGAAACAGTGCTTTTAAGATGGGAAAATTAGGTACAAGGATTTTGAATGCAAATATTGTTTTCACTCCAAATGATTTTTAAACCCATTACTAGCTTTTTTGAATGTCTTTCACTAAGTTAAGTTGGACTTAGGACATGACAACACATGATTGCATGTGGGAATTCCTGGCTAAAAACAGAAGTAGTGGTCTAAGCTAGCCCAGTCTTTCAGCACAGGAACCCTTATTCATGTTTTAAAGATTACAAGAAACTTACATTAAAATAAAAATCAAATTGCACCACTTCCTTTATAAATACGAATTCATTACATATAGAGTTCAAAACCGTTTGTCTGTTTTCCATGACCTTGTGTAGCCCAGTCCCTCATCATTGCTCCATCACCATCTTTACTATCCACCCCCCCCCCCATCATACCATTGCCACAATTGCAGGCTTTCAGTTCCCTGAATTCCCAACTTCTTCTTTCTCCCTGATTTCTCAGATATTAGTACTCTGCCTGCATAGTCTTCCCCATTTCTTTTCTTGATCAACTCCTATCATCCTTTGAGCTTCATTCAGTTTGCTTGTTAGCCCCTCAGAATGATTTTCCCTGAGCTTTCAGGATAGTTTAGGCTTCCTTGCCAGATAGCAGCACTGGTGGAACTGTAAGATAAGCATGTTACTGCTAATTACAAGGTTGGCAGTTCAAACCCACTAACTGCTCTGGGGGAGAAAAATGAGGGTCCCGTAAAGATTTACAGCCGCAGAGGCCCTAGATAGGATAAGTGTGAGTCAGAGTTGATTCCATCGTAGTGGGTTTGGTTTGGTTTGCTTTGTCATATGCTCTCTCATTCTTTACCACAATTGTAATTATATACTCATTGTGAAGTAGTCTCTTTTGTGTCTGTGCTCATCATTAGACTGTATTGCAGAAACAATACAATCCTTATGTACTATGTTACTTTTGGAGTCCTGGTGTGGCACTGCAGGATAATGCACTAGGCCACAAGGTCAGTTTGAACCACAAGGTCAGAGGTTCAAACCCACCAGTCATGTCTCAGAAATCCTATATAGGGTTGTCATGGGTTGGAACCAATTCTAAGGCATTTTACCCTCCATCCCAAAAAGTCATTTTTAATGTCTAGAATAATGTCAGATACATAACAGATACTTGATAAATATACATTTGAATGAATAAATAAATGAGCATTTTATGGATGAACATTTATTGATCTTTTCAGAGAAATAAATCATTCTAATGATATTCACATATAGAGCTTAGTTCTCCTTATTTTGCCTTTCTTGGACATGGACAACATTCTCTGGGTCACTTGATGCACATGTAAAATCTATATGTTTTATAAAGTAACTTCAACTTTCAGGAAAACAAGTCCAAAGCATCAAGCATTGTACAACAAAACTTCATTTGCTCTCAGACAGAATCCAATGAATTTAAATGATTTGATGTAATTGAAACATAGTTGCTTTAGTTAAAATTCTCTCATTTATGCATACCAACACAGATATTTCTATAGTTCTTGTTAACATTAAGTTCTTTTGAAATATATGGATAAAAAGTGAAAGAAAGCAATTTTATAAGCTGGAAATTTCCTACAAGTTGAAATTCCCTAGTATATGATTATGATTAAAATTACATGGCCTCCTTCCCTAAAGGATCTAGTAACCAAGCTGGTGCACTTACAACATGTTTCTGTGTCTTTTCAGTCTTGAATAACTCAGCTGAGTTGGAAACAAATTGGCACCAACGTCAGAGGAAATCTTTCTGATATAAAAATATGGCCTGTAAGGACCTATGTTTTTAATATCTTTCTGTCAGGGGGCTAACATTTTACACTATTTGCATTGAAGAGTGTAAGGTTTCATACATGCTCATTGAGTACACTTGCCTTAACAAGAATGGATATAAGATTCAATTAGTTTCTTGTCCTCTTACCAAGAAAAATCATTCTAATTAACAGAAAACAAAAGAGAAATCCAATGCTAGTCTATAACAACTTTAAAACACATGGATACCTCTGCATTATTCTGATACCCACCTTTTATTGGTGATCACTTCATAGCCAATCACACAAAGAGCAGTATGAATACATGTCATGTTTGGGGAGTAGGTGACAAATACACCTAATCCATAGCAGGAAGATATATAATTAAGACATTAAGTCTTTCTCTCTGTCATCCACATATTTGCTAATTTATGGAACTTGTAATATTTCAGTGCTGGAATCACTTGCTGAAAATGTTTTCTTGATTGTTTCATTTTGCTTAAGACTAGTAAGAGCTGAGAGTCTGGTAATATCTACCTTTGTTTTCCTCATGAATCCTTGAGGATCTCTTAACCTCAAAGGACTCTCTAGGTAGAAAAAGGTTGCTTTCTTGATACCTTGTGCCTTTTTCTCTTTGTTGATTTAAAGAGCAACTCTTACATTTTATCTGCTTTGTACCTTTGGATTCCAAATCAGCAAGTTTAGTTTTATTAGAAGTAGAAGATTCATCCGTTTCTACAAGGCTTATTATTATTTTTAATCCTTCTTCTTTGTGACAATCTGAATTTAATTTGGGATCTTCTTTTAGCCTGAATCCAAATGACTCTCATCTGTGGAAGATGAATCTGAGGAATCTGTATGAAGTTCATTCCATCTGGGATTTGAGAGTTGGTGGTGAAAATCATTTCTTCTCCTTTTCATTTGTTCACCTGCATGCTCATTTCTCTCTGAGGCCCTTCTCCTTCTGCTAGGCCTCTGTTTTAATTGTTTCTTACCAGACTCTTTCCTAGCGGGGTTCAACACCCTGACAGGGGTGGTGCAATGCTCAAATGCATCTTCTGACATGTCATGCAAGATGGCAGATCTGGATAAAGCAACAGGCAGAGGATGGAAAATGGGAATGGAGGGAAAGCCATAGAAAAACAAAGAGAGAAAGATGAAATGATAGCAGGGACTGGAAGTTGGTAAATAAAGATCAACTGAAGAAAATAAAGTAAACAAAATAAGCCAATACAAACTACCCTTAGACAATGTAAGGCAGAAGCAAGAGGCACACATTCTCAGAATATAAAACCAGGAATACAAAGCAGTGGTCTATAAGAAAGATTGAACAGGATCATTTGCTCCACACTTACCTGCAGATGTCCTGAGTGGATGGACAGACAGACAACCTTGACTGGCTCCTGGGAGCTGTCCCTGTTGTTGGACTGCTTGCCTGGAGAAACAAGTTAGATAATTTGGCATCTTGGTTTAGGTAATACATAGTTGATATCTTGCTTTTTTTCCACATATTTAAAAAATTACAACAAATGTGGCTGCCAGTCATGTTGTTCAAAACGCAGCTCACAGAATACAGGAAGTTAGAGAGTGTTCAGTTTACAAAAGTAAAACTTATTTGAGGAACTTGGAACAGCTGAGAAGCTGTACCACTTTGCTGTTGCTTCATTTGTGAGACAAAAAGATGATTTTACATTTTCTATTCTACTTACTGTAAGCATTGAGTTGAATGGCTCAATTTACTTTAAAACAAATGAGTAGCACTTGAAGATTCTCTGTAACAAGGATGATAATAATCTGGGAAGCATGAACAATCAAAGTGCCTGCAACACTAAAGTCAACATGACTTTAGGTCAAGATCATATGATATATCTATATGGAGATACTTCATAAACTTAAAGTCTACAATTATTTGTTATTGAAACAAAGTCTATGCATCACAGCACTATTGACATTTCATATCTTTTAATTCTGTCACCATATTGAGTTTAAGAAGAAAACAAACAAAGAAATGTATTGCCACTGAGTTAATTCCCCTCATAGTGGCCCCGTAAGACAGGATAGAACCACATCATAATGTTTTCAAGGCTGTGATCTTTATGGAATCAAAGTGCCACATATTTCTTCTGAGAAGTGGCTGGTGGGTTCAAACTGCCAAACTTCTATTTAGCAGCTGAATGCTTAATCACTGGACTCCTTGAGTCTAAGAGACTCAGGAAATAATTAAAACTATTGGCACAAAGTTCAGTACATCTCACTAAACATCTACCTTCAAAAAGATATCATCGTCTTCACTTCGTTTGACTTATTTAACTTTGTGTTTAATGAAAGTGAAGATGATAATAACAAATCAAAAGTTAGACTATATAGACAATTTACAGTGTACCAACCAATGTGCTTGGCAAATGGGAAATAACAGGTAGCAATTTTGAGTGAATGTTATGTGTCACTCACTTTTCTAAGCATTGGAATTATATTTATTCACTAAACTCACAAGACACTTATTTGGAAAATACTATAAATATTTTCATGCTTCAGATGAGGAAACTGAAAAATAGAGGCTACTTCTTATATTGGTGGTAGAACAGAAATTTGGACTAGGAATCTGGCTCCAACCAATGTCTGCTGTTTAATCTGTCAGACCAGAGAGCTTCTCCTTCTTAACATCAGAAGGAAACCATGAGACTCTTGGTTCCAGATTCAGGCCTATCTGATTGTATAAATGAAAATGCACCATATTGTAACAACAACAACAACAAAAACTCATAGTAATGGTAGAAACACTGATTTCTAAATTTCAAAATTGTTCTAAAAATTCTCTTATTAGTGATATGCACATAATTGTGGGATACAGAGAAAGAGAAACTAATTCTAACTCAACAGGTCAGAAAAACTTTCCAGAGAAGGTGTGGTATAATGGTCTCCCCAAAATGTCCATGGAGTCCCTGGCTGTGTGCCCTGGAGTCCATTCTGACTCATAGTGACCCTGTATAGGGTTTCCTAAGCTGCAAATCTTTACGGGAGCAGAAAATCTCATCTTTCTCTCTTCGAGTGACTGTTAGATTCGAACTGCTGTTCTTGTGGTTTGCAGTCCAGCTCATAATCCATTATGCTGCCAGGTGGTAGCAATGGTTAAGTTGCTCAGCTGATAATGAATGGCTGGAGGCTTGAATATACTCACAGAGGTGCCTCTAAAACAAAACAAAACAAATCAAAATCCTGGTGATCTGCTATTGAAAATCAGCTTTTGAAAACACTATGAAGAATGACAGTTATATTCCAACACATATGGTGTGACCGTGATTCATAGCTGACTTGACATCAACTGGATTAACTGCTTACGTCATAATCCCTGGATCCTGTGGCACAAGTGGCTTTGCAGATTAAAGATTTTGAGATGGGGAAACTATCCTGGATTATCTAAACGGTGCTGCTAATTGCAACCACATCGGCTTTGTAACACTGAGGCAGTAGAGTCAGGGTCTCAGAGAGAGAAACAAAGAATATGTAATATTAAGAGGAGAGAAGACACTATGCTGGTGGCTTTGAAGATGAGGGAGGGGCCCTGAATCAAGGGATAGAAGTAGCTTCTATAAATTGGAAAAGCCAAAGAAATGGATTCTACCCTAGAACCTCCAAGAAGAATGCAATCCTACCAACAACTTTTTAGCTTAGTGAAATTGTGTCAAACTTCCCAAGTTCAGAACTGTAAAATGATAAATTCATGTTGTTTAAGTAACCAAGTTTGTGGTAATTTGTAGCAGTAACCATAGGAAACTGAAAAAAGAAGTTAATAACTTCAGCCAAGCTTAAAAGACAAACAGGAATTAGTAACAGAGTGACTGAAAACATTTCATTGTGCTGAGCGTAAGTATGGCACTCTCAATATGTTTTAATACAAATAGAATAGATCCATATTTGTGCCCATCCCAAAGAAGGATGATCCATCAGAATGTGGAAATGACTGAATAATATGAATATCACATACAAGAAAAAATGTGCTGAAGATATTTCAAAAATGGTTGAAGGAGTGCATAGACAGAGAACTGCCAGAAATTCAAACCATATTCATAAGAGGGTATGGAATGAGTGATATCATTACTGATGTCAGATGCATCGTGGCTGAAAATTCAGAATACCAGAAAGATGTTTCCCTATGTTTTATTGATTATGCAAAGGTTTTAAATGGTGTGTATCACAACAAATTATGGATAACATTGATATGAATGGGAATTCCCGAACACTTATTTGTGTTCATGAGGAAGCTGTACATAGACCAAGAGGTAGTTATTTAAACAGAACAAGGGGATACTGTGTGGTTTAAAATCAGGAAAGGTGTGTTGCCAGGGTTATGCCCTTTCATCATACTTATTCAGTCTGTATGTCCAGCAAATAATGTTAGCGCCTGAACTATATGAAGAAGAACTAGGCATCAGAATTTGAGAAGACTCATTAAAATGTGATATACAGATGAAATTACCTTGCTTGCTGAAAGGGATGTGGATTTGAAGCACTTACTGATGAAGATTAAAGACTATAGTCTTCAGGATGGATTACATTTTAATTGAAAGAAAACAAAAACCTTCACAATTGAATTAATAAACAACATCTAATGATAATCTGCTGCTGTTGAGTTGACTCTGACTCATTGTGATCCTGTGAGACAGCAGAATTGCTCGGTAGGGTTTCCAAGATTGTAAATCTTTATGGAAACAGAAGTCACATTTTTTTCCCATAGAAGAGCTGGTATGTTTGATTTGTCCATCTTTTGATTAGAGGCTGAGTGCTTAACCATTGCACCATCAGTGCTAATTATATGGGGGAAAATATTGACATTGTCAAGAATTTCATTTTACTTGGCTCTACAGTCAGCACCCATGGAAACAGCAACCAAGAAATCAAATGATGTATTATTGCATTAGACAAACGTATTGCAAAACACCTCTTTAAAGTGTTAAAAAGCCAAGATGTCACTTTGAGGAAGAAGATGCACCTGATCCAAGTCATAATAGTTTCAATCGCTTCATGTGAAAGCTGGGAAATGAGCAAGACAGACCAAAAATGAACTGATGCCTTTAAGTTAAAGGACTGCCAGAATAATGAATTCATCAGTTTGGGAAGGAGTATAACCAGAATGCTCCTTACAAACAAGTTGACAAGATTTAGTCTTAAGTATTTTTGACATGTTATTAGGAGGGACCAGCTTCTGGAGAAGCAAATCATGTTTGGTAAAAAAGAGGGTCAACATAAAAGAGGACTCTCAATGACATGGATTGACACAGTGGTTTATACAAAGGACTCGAGCATAAGAACGATTGTGAAGATATCAAATGCAGGACTAGGTAGTGTTTTGTTCTGCTGTAAGTGAGACCACTATGAGTCAAAATCAACTCAAATGCATATAACAGCAACCATAACATACTCTGATAAAGTCCAGTAATGGGAGTTTTGTTGAAAGAAAAGTATCTAATATAAGGTGTTTGTTGTTGTTGTTGTTAAGTGGCATAGAGCCAGTTCTGACTAAGAACAACTCTGTATAGGGTTTCTGAGGGTTTAAATCTTCAAGGGAGCAGAACGCCTCATCTTTCTCCCAAGGAGCAGGTGGTGGGCTCGAATAGCAAACCTTATGGTTCGCCATCCAGTGCTTACTGTATGGAGTCACCATGCTTCCAATATAAGATGTTGTTTTTGTTAATGTCATTGAGTCAGTTCCTGTATAGGATTTGCGAGGCATGGATGGTGAGTGTGAACAACCAATTTTGCGGTTCAAACTGACCTGGTGCTCTAGTGCTTATCCTACAGTGCCACAGAGATTAAAAGTAAACTTCCCAGAAAAGATTATACCTGACCTCGAAATGGGGAGTGTGACTAAACCAGACATGTAGCCCGGAGGGGAGACAACACTGCTGTGGGAGCCATACGGAGTGTTGCAATGAGTGAAGAAGATAGAAGCTGATAGAAAATAAGGATAAAGTAAACAGAGTCTCTTATGCTATATTGAAAAGTTTGAATTACATTCTCAAAAACCTAGAAATTAATTGATCAGTATTCAACAGTAAATCAAAGTGAGTAACTGTGGACTTCTAGAAAGCTCACTGAGGCAGTCAAGAATTGAGTTATGGTGTTGGAGGAGAATACTAAAAGTACCGTGGGCTGCCAAAAGGACCAATAGATCCATTTTGGAGGAAACGCAGCCAGAGTACTCCTTAGAGGCCAAGATGGCCAAAATTCTTCTCTCATGCTTTGGACATACTGTCAGGGAACAGTCGCTAGAGAGGGATATCATGTTTGGTAAGATGGAGGGTCAGAGAAAAAGAGGAAGACCCCCATCGAGATGGATTGGCCAGGTGGCAGCATCGATGGACTCAAGTGTGGCAACAGCAGTGAGGTAGGCCCAGGATCGGACATAGTTTCGTTCTGCTGTGCATAAGGTCGCTG